TAACATCATAATTCAAATTCAGAACCAAAACCTACATAAATTCTAATAATCTACATGTCTCTGCAACGCCAGGGCTCATTTTATCTCCGTGTTGGAATTTTATATTCACAGTTCCCAGTGTGGTACAGGCATATATTACACATTCGGTACATGTTAATGAAATATATACAAGCCTCAACCTTTACCACTTCGCATTTATTATTCTTTATGTAAAATGAGAACTTCTAAAATGTGGGAGAATTTTAGTCTCTCTTATCTTTTATTTGAAGAAAGGAGGCCACATCATTGCCTATTAGCTACATCACGACGGCTTCTCTGCTCCACTGTGTTGAACAATCTGACTCACACCTACCAATAGGAATTCTGAAACGGGGCCCACTGCCAGGCAACAGCTTTTCGATGTTTTTCCCTTAACATCATTCATGTCGGAGTGAGAACCACGGAGATCGCAGAGATGGGTTCCATAAAGGAGTTTCTAATTCTAATCTCTAGTTGTACATTTGGTCGGTTTCTAGGCTAGGTCAGAAAACACCCCCTTCAACGCCTGTCCTGTTTCCATTGGAAACCTTGGACTGGAGAGAGGTTGGAGTCCACTTTTTCTGACTTGTTTTATTTCTGGACAGGAATTCTAAGTTAGAAGAACTACATGTTTAATTTCATTCTGTGGATTCTGGTCTAGATATGACATCTCTCTGAACCAAACAGGGACCGACCAGCTTTAATCTTGCAAGTCAGATATGTAACGGAATAAACAATGGGCATCTAAAATTTACCATAATGCCATTTCTCAGAAGTGTCTTCTCCAATGAGCTCTCAAAAGAAAAGGGTAGGGCCTGAACTTTTTATCTTGCTTAAGACACATAATAACTTAAGTAACCTCAGTGAGGAAGTGGGAAGAGGGCAAAAAGAAATGGAGATCTGAATTCCCTGCTTTGGGGAAGTAACTTATACAAAACTCTGAATTCCAAGAGTAGGAAAGGTGGTTTATCTAGTCTTGCTTCATGAAATGAACTGCTATGATCCCAGGATAGGTTAAAAGAATTCCAGCTGATACAGCGGGCACAAAAATTAGGGTCCACCATGGAAAAGAAGGTCATGCATCCTCAACAAGATCTCGTGAGTTTAGCAGAGCAGAGAGGTGTCTCTAATAGTGGAGCTTCATGGAGAGTTGTAAGTATTTAAAAATCAGCAGCAAGAAGCAGAAAATGAACATGGCACAACAAACAAAAGAAAGATGTCACATGTGGCACTTGGTTTGTGTGGCATCATCCAAGACCTCATAATGACAGTTGACTGCATTGGGGGCTGCATCCCAGGGCAATTTGTGGACAGTACTAACTGGTGCTAAAGAGCTATGATGGGTGTTGGGGTTACAGTAAGATTCAGCACATAGTAAGTGCTCAATAAACATGCATGCATGGATAGATGGATGGAAGGAAAGAAGTTGAAAAGAATGGATAGAAGAAAGGAAGATGAAAAGGAAAGTAGGAAGTTGGCCTTTCATCAGTAGAGAAAAGTACTCACAAAGCTCAGTTTTATTCCTCTTGGGAACAGTTACCCAAAACTTTTACAATGCTTTCTCAAGCAACCAACTTGAGAAACAAGTGTTATGTGTATAAAAAAATGTGCTTTTTAGTATTAGAATACCTCTATACAAAAACCACATGAAGATAAATGGTAAAATGGAATGAAAAGAAACAAAGGTATGTCATTAAAATGACTGTATTGAGTGTTTAAAAGGTACTTATTTCATATGAAAATTACACAGAAGAATGCTGCTGGGGAAAGGGAAAATAAGTCAGATTGCAAAGAAAATAAGAGTTTCAAACAAAAATAATAAAGAGACTCCTTACACCTATGTTCTTTCATTTCAACTCTACAAATGTTTCTCTTAATTGTTCTCTCACTTTTCATTTTAGAAAAATATTTGAAAGTTTATTTTACAAACAATTACACTGGTGTTTATCTATCTGAATAAGTCCTCTTTGATGCATTGCACATTCAGGGACACCTGCTGGCAGTGCCTGGAGTATAATACTGCTAGATAATTTCATATTATCACTACTGCTGGAAGGAATCCATTTTCTCTCTCTCTCTCTCTCTCTCTCTTTCTCTCTCTCTCTCTCACTCTTATTTCCATGTAAACACTATCTGATTCAAACTGTGAATTCTAACAAATATTTGATATGAAAAAATAAGAGGAGAAAAATTTGTTTGCATTTCTCTCCTTTTCATATTTTAGGTTGCATTTCATTGATGACTAAGCCACAACCTATCCACTTACTCCTCATGACCTGTGGGTCATTTCCAGTTTTAGGCTAATACAATAAACCTGTTATGAACATTATTTTTTGAAATATATTTTTATTGATTTCAGAGATAAGGGAGAAGGAGAGAGATAGAGAAACATCAATGATGAGAGAGAATCATTGATAAGCTGCCTCCTGCATGCCTTCTACCGGGGATCGGGCATGTGCCTTGATCACCATTATCTCCTGGTTCATAGGTCCATGCTCAACCACTGAGACACACTGGCCAGGCTGTTATGAGCATTCTTGAAGTGGCTTATGGGCTGCTTTCTCTCGAATAGTTACCTCATATTGTAATTGCTAAGTAATCAGATAAGCATGTATTTACTTTAGTAGACACTGCCAACAGTTTTCCAAAATGATTGTTTTCCTCATATAGCAGCAACATATCAAGTTCCAGTATTCCTGCATCTCTGACAGAATTTGATGTTATCATAATTTTTGCCACTAGCAGTCATGAAGAAATACTATTTTTCCCTTTTGCTCATTGTGGTTTAATCTTACATTTATATAACAATGATTAGCATTGTTATGCCCATTATGGGTCAGATGAGTATCCATTTAGTGAAGTGCACAGTCAAAAGTTTCCCCTGATTTTTCCATCTTAACAGTTCTTTTTAGCATCCGGACTGAGTTCTGTGTTGGGATATGCATTGCAAATATCTTCTCCCTGTCTGTGGTTAGCCTTTTCATTCACAATGGAATGCTTTACTGTTATTGTCTTATCTGCAATTTGTTTAACTCTATGTCAATCAGGAAAAATGGGATTTGATGTATTTAGATGGCTTCAAGGAGTATCTATATTAGCAAAGAATCTGTGCTTTGGAACCATGCAGACTGAGACAAGGAGAAAGTTTCAGCAATATTGTTTGGTTATAATTAAAACGAATAGCAATATTTTAAGGCTCCCTTTCCACTACAATTCCTTTTTGATAACTTAAGTATCACTGTAGAAAGTTCCATTGTGTGAAACATTTAGTTTTCCTCCATCCTGCATTAATTTATTCTGCACAGTATAGTTCTAAAAAAGTTTTAAGCAGGATAGCTATAAATATAATTACCATCATGACAATAATGAATCACTGAGTAATCTTAAAGAAACAGAGCTGCAGTGACATTGCTAAACCCCTGCACCCAACACACCCTGCATTTTACATGGTGCAGGCACAGGAGAGCTTTCTTCTAAGAACTTATATCAGATGGACAGTCAAATGGCATCCAAGCATTAGAAACAATAAGTCCATTTGGTCAAATCTATATCAACTGATACTTCGTCACCTAGAACATCCTAAAAATGAATTGTTGCTGATGTTGCCCTATTTTCTCCCCAATTTAGTGACCTGGACTAGTTACAATCAAAACAGAGTAATTAGATACCTCAGGGTTTTTTTCTTTAAAGCAGGGATCATTTGAAGAATGAACGTACTAAAGATAAGAGACAAACTGAGTTTTTGCTCAGTTTAAATACTGAAAAGTATTCATTTATTTTACCCTCGTAAAAATCCTATGTCATAGTTATTATTACTACCTCTTATTGAAGAAGATACTGAATTATCTGCCCTAAACCACACATTCACATTTTGAGAGTGTGACATGGATATTTGTTGACTGAAATGACAAACTCATGGCTGTACACTTTATTATTATTATTTTTAGTCTGTTTTTACTCTCCCTACCACAAATATTTTAAAATATCTAATCCAGAACATCTTCATGTGTAGCATGCATGCTCCAGTTTGCCACAGTTTTTAAAACACTGTATTTAATATCTTTTTACTTCATACAATTAGGCAATCTGACTGGCTTCTTAAATCAACAGAGTTTGAGACCTTTGTCTGTAAAGCAATGGAATGCGAGAAGAGAAGTGGGACTAGTACCTATTGTTTATGAGGCCAGGGTCAGTGTGCCCTTCACTTCTCCCTTTCTAAGAAATACTTCTGGCCACTCATCTCTGGTTCTCCTTACACAGCCCCCAAAGGAACATACTTTAATTTCTTTACATGAAAAGGAAGTGCGATGAAAGAGGAAGGAAACACGATTTATTAAGCACCCATATTAAGCAGATAGTTTATATGTTATATCTAATTTGTTCCTGGGAGAAAACAACCAAAGAATAAACCTGAATTTGTTTTGTTGCCCCACATATACAAAAGAAAGAAGATAGTGGAGCTTAGAGAGGGAAGAAATCCATTGCCCAGACCATGATGCTAGAGTATGTCTAGAGAGACTATTTTATCTGACTCCCACACCATTGAGCATCCAACCCCACCTGGGGCCTCCCTCCTACCTGAATCAAAGTCATAGGAACTTAGCACCCACATCCTTATATTTCTGCCATTGTCTATGCTTTAGAATAAAACATAGTCACTTTTAGTATAACTCTTTTAATCTAAAACTTTACCCATGTCAGAGCAATATCCATTGCTTTAATCAATTTGAATGGCACATTTTATGCAATGTACATATTTTCAGGGCATATTATTAAATGGCAACGCATTTACTGTTGTGCAATACATGGGTCTAGATTG